ATAACGCGTAAACAAATACAAAGAATAAATTGTTGTGAATTTCAACTTGGCAAAAATTAGTGACTTCCAGAATTCTTGGATTAGCCACCAACAATGTTGCTCCAGTTGAGTAGAAGGTGTTTTCGCCTGCAAATTTGACGATCTTTGAATTAATTGTCATTAATTTATTTGCAAATGCTTGTATTAATAATAAAGTAATTTAGATGTGCTCTTACCTTTGCACTTATCGACATATAATGACATAATAACAAGGATGAGAGAATGATCACCCGTATTTGCAAGGATGCCATTTGATTGGGTAGCTGTCCTACGAAAGAAAGTTACCTTGACAAGTAATCCCCTATACCCAAATTGTATATTAGATTTGCTATTAGAGGCAAAGTAATGCATGATATTATAAAAGAAATGTCAATAATTCCATACTCATAAAGTTTTAGTTGGAGCTGTTTGCGACTAATTTCCAGTGAGTCCAATAATTATCAGTCAATTTGAATACTGAATAAGCTGGCAAACAACATCTGCAGAATGAAGAATTTTGAAAGCTAATGTATGTGGGTGTACGCACATAAAAGTGAAGTAGTGGTACTAAATCCGAATACTGAATAAACTGACCAACAACATCTGCAGAATTAAGAATTTTAAAAGCTAATGTATGTGGGTTTACACGCATAAAGTGAAGTAATTATTAATTGAGAATAGTAGTTTGAGTTGAAAGAAATTTCATTTGTTTACCGTTCTTGTCAATCTCATCATGTTTGATGAAACAGAGCTTATAAGCTGGTATAGCTGGAATATCGTCGCATATTTCGGCCTCGGTGTTTAGCTGAAACTTGATAACCAATTTTTTTGTAATTCGGTGGTAATCTCCTATTGTCATATTGACCTTAAAGTTCTTGATAATGTAGACTCTCTGCCCACGAAACAGGGGATGAAAGTCCTTGATTTGGCCTTTGGGAATTTGCACCCAAATATCATTACCCTGTGGAAGTAAAATAGACATATTAATAAATTGTTGAAACTTTGGTCATAGAGTTTGAATATGTGTGGTTTTAGTTAGTTTACCTTTGAGTCAATAACTATCATATCCAGACGAATATAATAGTATATGTGTTGGCATTGATTGGCAGCCACTTCCTTGAAACTCGACATTGAATATTCCAGTTCCTCGTTTGAGTTGTTAGTTCAAAGATAAGTTGGGATTGCATATTGACTAACCTTGAATCAAAACATCAGCCAAACAATAATTTTAGTTTGACAATGAATATCAGTGTAACTCTCAAAATATGCACTTAGCGCAATGTTAATGTAGGGCTGGCTATTTGGTCCCGAACTGTTTGGTTTTACCCGAAACCGGACCGTATAACCCGGACCGGGACCGGACTGGGACCGGATAGCAAACAATGCAATTTCATATTCGGGCTTAGATTTGAGGTAAAAAACCGGATAAAGACCGGATAAGAGACCCCCAACACCTAAAATCAAGATAAAATTGTGACCGGACCAGGTCAAAACCGGACCGGATCAAGACCGGACCGGATCAAGACCGGACTGTATCCAATCCAATCTTTGGTCCTTATATTCCCGAAAAGACTGGACTGAGACCGGATCAATTTAGTCCAATTTAACCGGACCGGACCGTATAGCCACCCCTATGTTAATGTGCGAAGTGTGTAATTAAATGAGGGACATAGTTTAGCTCATTCTAAAATAAAAATTTCAGCATATATAATCACGACTATTGTCTGCACAGTAAACCTTGGAAAGTAAGTTTAGATGTACGAATGAAGAATTTCTTACAAGAAACAAAGTTTAGTAATACATGAACAGAGCTGCAATAGGGAACCTGCGGTTGAATGTAAGAGAGCAGGGGCAGTGGTAGTAGTTATGGAAGGGTGGACGTGTTGAAGACCATTACATCGTTTCGGAGCCATGGAGACTCGATTTCGACCCCGGTCTTTTACATAATCAATAGAACAGCGGTTTGGGTTCGTCTCCTCCGCCTCCCTCTAGACTATTTTGATGAAGACATCCTCTATGACATTGGTAAAAAAATTGTAAGGGTGAAGAAGATCGATTACAACACAACAAACGAATTCAGTGGCAACTATGCCCGAATTTATGTGGAGGTTGATATGCAAAAAAGATTGGTATCCAAAGATAGGATCAAGAGAAGAGTGAGAAGGATTGAGTATGAAGGGTTGCACGTTGTTTGCTTTGATTGCGGCCTTTATGGCCACCTTGCAGAGAGCTGCCCATAGAAACAAGCGATGGAAAGCCAGAGTATGAATGACAGAATGAAAGAAGTGAGCTCCCCACTCTCAAGCCCTTCTATCCGCCCAGAAATTCTGGAGGATTTTGTACCATGGATGCTTGCAAGTCGACCAAAAGGAAGGGGAACCAACAAAAGAGGAAACAAGCGAATGACAGGGACAACAGTGAAACCAAGGAGACACCAGGGAAAACCTCTGGCTCACGTTTCAGTGCACTGGAAACTGCAAAAGAATCACCAGCATGAGGAGAGGAAATGACGACCCACAAAGACACCCAAGCTGACACGATGATGGATGTAGAGCAAGGGCAGGAGAATCAAGCAGAAAATCAAATCAAAGAAATCAACAAGGAAGCAAAACAGGAAAGTAAGAAGAAGGGGAAGATGAACACTGGGAAATCTAGTGGGGAAGTTGACAAAGGGCGAAAATCCAACCCGAAGACTTCTTCTTGCAAAGAGAACCAGAAGGTCTCCCCTATTCTATCTAAGCAAGGCAATGACACTAAAGCAAGTCCTGCCAAGACTAAGCAGAACCAAAGTGTAGAACAAGCATCTGACAGAGGTTCCCTTCACCATGGAGTGACATGCCCAACTGGAACATCTAAGCAGAGTAATCCATCCAACAACCATGCTTATGAGTCATCAGGTAGATCAAGCTCAAGCAAAAGATTAGCTACTAAAGCAAAGACCGACCACCAAGGCTCAAGCAAGGAGGATATGCAGTCCACCAAGGGGGTATTAAAGAATCAAAATAATGGGGAGAGTCAACCCAGAATGATTGATTTTAATCCCAAGAAAGATGATATAGACAATGGGCCAGAAGATGTCAATGAACCAAGAGAGTCTGCAATTGGTAGTATCCCAGAGGTTCAGAAGGCGGCTATGGCCGTCGACAAATGAGATTTCTGACCCCCCTCCCCCCGAGTCGATGCAGGGTAGACCTTCTCTAAATTTAATGGTTAATTTTCTTTACTGGAATTGTAGGGACGCCTTGCATCCCAAATTTTTGTCAACACTGGAACTGTACAAAGCCAGTTTCAGACCGGATGTTATCTTCATACTTGAACCACGAATCAATGGCCAAGATGTAGAAAGGGTTATCAAATCTATTGGATTTGATGCTTGGAAAGTCTCGGCTGCAGTGGGTTTTAGTGGAGGAATTTGGGTGCTATGTAACAACAATAACGTTAACTTGGAGCTTGTTGAGAACCATAAGCAATTTCTCCACCTCAAATGCACTGATGGGGGCAAAACCATCTACCACCTCACAGCTGTTTATGCAAGCCCCAATGAGTATGACAAGAGGGATTTGTGGCAATGCCTGAAGAACATTGATAGCTACACAAGCATGCCTTGGATTCTCACTGGAGACTTCAATTCCATCACCAGGGCTTTAGAGAAGCAAGGTGGGGCACCTTTCAATGTTGCAAAGGTCAGGACCTTCAATGACTATATTGATGAATGTGGTCTGATTGACCTGGGTGGGATACACAGGACCTAAGTTCACCTAGTTCACCAGGTCCACTAGGCTTAAGGAGAAATTTTATCGGAGTTTGTGCAACCTGGAATGGCAACAAATGTTCCCTACCACTACAGTGCTCCATCTCCCCAAATTGAAATCCGATCATAGACCAATCCTGACTAATACCTCTCAGCATCCTGACTCAAGAAGAATTGAAAGACGATTCCGTTTCCTTGCTGCTTGGCTGGATCACAAGTTTCTGCCGTGTGTGGAGCAAACATGGAAACCAGGAGGAGAGTTCATACCAACTATGAAGGAACTTTCTAACAACCTGGTCAAATGGAACAAGGAGATGTTTGAAAACATTTTCAAGAGGAAAAAAGATCTCCTCAGAACATTGAAATCCCTGGAAATGTTCAATGAGAGGAAATCTACGAGATGTTTTATGGATAAAGAAAAGGATATTAGAGAAGAGTTAGTGGGTACTCTCTGATATTCGCCCAAGCAGTGAGATTTCATGGTGGAGCTTCGGTTTTTTGAAACGTGAAGCAAACTTGTTACCACTGCTGCTATGGAGATCCCATTTTTGCTTGCTCCATCATTTGCATCGAAAAGAATAGAATAGATAGTTGTAGAGAAAGCAATTTGCAGGTTGCTCAGGAAGTTAGTATTCACTTCAGACTGCAGAATGATTCACTTGAATATTCATTGTCTTCTTAATTCTTCAATTTGAACCTACATCGATATTATTCACATTAGATCCATTACGATAGATATATTAACATGGAGATTGACAATATGCGATGAACAATGAAACACATCCCAAGCTACTTCCTCTATGTTGAGAGTTGATATGCAGTTCCTGTTCGTTGAGAATGTGCAGGTTTCCCTCCCCCAGTCAGTCTTACTGCAAAATTCGTCGTCACGAGAGGTCGAGAGGTTGATTGGTTGTTGCATCTAACGATTGAGATCATATTGTAAAAATCTAAGAAAAAGTTTCAAACTATACATAAAAAATGATCGATTGGGGTTAAATATAGAATTTTTAAGTAGACTACTCTACTACTAGTAGTCTAGTACTCGGTCAACATTCAACGCGGCAAAATCTCTTCATCATAATCTATAATTTATTTAAAGCATATTGATGGGTTCACTTTTCTCCATTTCAAATTTCTAACAACCAGAGTGAAAGTAGGAAGGGTATTTTTGTCTTCACATTTATTTATTTAAATCATATAAAAATATATCAACACCTAGATTTGAACCATAGTCTCTTTAAACAAAGAAAAGAAATATAACCAATTGCATTAAAAAATATGTTGTCTAATTTTTATTACAAAACATACATGAAGTTAAAAGCTGAAAAACAGATGACATTTGCATAATGGTAAGCTAGCCTACTAAGTCTTCTATAAGTATTTTTATGGTGCTTGATACTTCAATTTTTATATTTGATTATTTTAGCGATAATGAAAATATGCGATCTCATTCAACCCAAAAGACACTTTGTAACTGCTATATTTTTAAAATAAATGTATGTTACTTATACCCTCACTCATTCATCAACTTAATGAGTACCATATATTTCATGTAATATGATTTTCATAGGTTTTTATTTATTGAATTATTTCATAAAAAATATTTGGTGCATGAAAATTACTACATTGCTGCTAGACATGTCTGCGATCTAAGAATAATTTGGGAAGTCCATACACAACACAAGATTCGGGCCTAATTGTATGCATTTTACCCCCGTTTTCCTTAGGCGTTTGTGGCAATTGTGCTTCTAAAAGGGTGGTTTTACGCTAGGTTTCTTGTGTTTTAGCATGTTTCAGGATCTAACAGGTGAAACCAACCCGTAGTCGAAAGTTGGATGAAAAGGAGTGAAAACCGGGAGAAGAGGTGAAAAACCGGGAGTTCACGGTATGCTAAGACCGTGAAGAGGAGGCATGGACCGTGAAAATCAAGGCGTCCAGGGCACTTCCTGAAGTTACTAACGCCAGGCGAGTTCACGGTCACTAAGACCGTGAACTGGAGCCGTTGCCCGTGAGCCTGAGCAAGCGAAGCAGGGTGTTTCGACGCCTAGCTCGAGTTCACGGACGCGTTCAAGAGTTCACGGCCGTGAATTGAGGCCGTGAACTGAGCCCAATCCCCATTTAAAAGGAGAGGTGAAAGGAAGAGAGCCCAAAAGTGAGAAAGTGTCTTCTTCAGATTTTAGAGAGAGAAAGAACGAACCAAGAAAAAAAGAAGGCCAGGGTTTGCTTCAAGTGGGGAATTGGGAAGATTCTCCCCAAGAGAAGATCAACACAAGGTCAAAGGAGATTGGAGGCATCACCATGATGGTTTCTACGTCTTCCTCTTGTGTTCTTCCCCTTTCTAGCATTGAGTAGTTTCCTTCTTCACTTGGGTGTTGTGAAACCCTAACTATTTGCCATGTAGTTGTTGTGTGAATTGAACGATTGTTTATGGGTGTTGGTTAATTCAATGATTGAGGTATTTTTCATGTTGATTGTGCATGTTTGTGCTTAGCAATCCAATTGGCCATTCTAACCTAGATTATAGGGAAACCCCCCTTTCAAGGTAGGCTCAATTGAGTTGAGATTCCTAGGGCTTTTTAAGCCACCTATCTAGGTTAATGTAGGGTAAACCTCTATGTTGAATTAAGCAATTTGGTTAAGCGCGATTAAGCCGACCAACCATTGGGTTGAGTGAGAGAGTAAGTCAAGCACCGATTGCCTTAACCAAGAGGGCTACTTGAGTAGCCTATAATGTATCCCTTGGTTTGGCGATCAAGAGTGTGGTCTACGACCACAATTGCGTTTCCTAGTGGTTCGCGGTCACCTTGCCCATAGCAATCACTTCGATTCACATGCCATGGTAGTAGTTAGGGGGAAGCGACACCAGAGTGATCCTTCTTAAAAAGAGCTTTCAAAACCATTTACTTTTGCCTTGTTTTACTTTAGTTAGCAAACTTTTCAACCAAAACTGAATTGGTAGATAATGTTTCAAACAATTGAAGTAGGGGTACACGGACACCCCGAGTCGATATTTAAACATACTTGCAATGTATTGCACCCTACTAAGGTTTATACTTGGACCTTAGGCGGGAATTAATTGTGATATTCGAAGCGAGTCAAGTTTTTGGCGCCGTTGCCAGGGACAACGGTTTGTTAATTTGATAAAGTTGTTTGGTGTTAATCTAGCTTTTAATTTTTGGTTTTGAAAGTGTGTGTGCTTTGCTTGTGCTAGACTTGGTGTTGTTTTCTAATTGTGTGTAGGGAGGTGCATGACCCGGAGTAATCCATCACCACGTGACGAGGACATAAACCTAACTCTCCGACTCCTAGCACGAGAGAGGGAGCTAGCGGAGGCAAGGAGGAGAAGTAAAGAAAGGGGACAACAATTTGGTCCCGGTGTTAGTGGAGTAGAAGTTGAAGAAGTGAAAGGTGAACCTAACATTGGAATAGAAATGGCGGGGAACCAAAGAGAAGCAGGAGCCACCCAAGCTCGTAACCTAAACGATGCGGCGGCGGAAGAGAAAGCACCAAGGACAATGGGATACTATATGGCCCCATTGCCAGTGGACATTCAATCGCCAATCCTTCACCCTCCCGTGGCGGCCAACAATTTTGAGATCAAGCCAGCTCTAGTGACCATGATACAAAACAATGCTTTGTTCCACGGTCATTCGACCGAGTCACCAAGAGAGCATGTGCAAAGATTCCTGGAGCTCGTGGGGAGCTTGAAAATCAATGGCATGTCGGCTGAAGCTTCGCAACTTAGGCTTTTCCCCTATTCACTTTCGCGGAAAGCACTCCGGTGGCTAAACAACCGCCCGCCTCGTTCAATCACCTCATGGGACGATCTTCTCAACAATTTCATGACCCGCTACTGCCCGACTTCGAAGATGGCCGAGTGGAGAAAGAAGATTACCCATTTCGAGCAAGAGGAAGACGAGACCTTGAGGGATGCTTGGGAGAGATACTCCGATTATTTTCTTTAATGCCCTCACCATGTGTTCGAAGAAAAATTTTGGATTGAAACTTTCTACGGTGGTCTAATCCAAGAAGACAAGATTCTCATTGACTCACTGTGTCAAGGGAAATTGATGAATATGACACCACCCTAAGTGACTGAGCTACTTGAAGACATGGCCCTCAAGGGATACGATTGGGGGATTGACGAGAATTGGGAGGAGAAGCAATGATAGGGGAGTGAGAAGTGTGGGAGCAAGCACTCCACTTGCAGTAAAGCTCGACAAGTTGATCGAGGTGATTCGTGAAGATAAGAAGCAAGGAAAGAGGCCGGTGATGTCTTGTGATTGGTGTTTGAGCACTAGCCATGCGATGGCGGAGTGCCAAGCAATGAAGGAGGCAACCACTCCGGAGGAGCATTTCAATTTCGTGGCATATGCTAGGGCTAATAACCCATGTAGCAATACTTATAATTCCGGATGGAGGAACCACCCAAATTTTGCTTGGTCATCACCGACTAATCCGAGGCCCCCGGGGTTTAAGGTCCCACGGGAAATTGTCAACCTTGGCCAACCTTCATCCATCAAAGGCTTCTCAAGTCCAAAGCTCGAACTTCCAACAACCATATCTCACACAAGGTGGTCAAGGGTTTCAACAACAACAACAACAACCCGATAATCTATCCAAGATTGAAGACCTAGTGAACACCTTTGTGAGCACGAGTGCTCAAAAGTTCGATAAGATTGAGCAATTTATGGATGTGGCGACTACCAAGTTTACCTCGGTGGAGGCAGGACTCCGAAGCCATCAAGCGAGCCTACAAATCTTGGAAGTGTAAATCGACAATCTTGCCGAGATCCTCACCGAGAGACCAAAGGGAGCCCTACCTCCCCAAACTGTGGCGAACCCCAAGGATCATGCCTGGGTGAATGCAATTCAAGTGGGAAGTGGAAAGGTGCCTCTGAGCATCGCCGCTAAAGAAGTGATTGAGAAGGAAGATCCCAACCCGAAGGATGGATAGAAAGGGCCCTCGAGGAAAGAGAGGAAAGCGGCAAGGAAGGCATTGCCGACATCACCTCCGGTGGTTGAGTACAAGCCACCTCATCCTTTCCCCACGAGGATGTACAATGAGTGGTTGGATAACGAGTGTGAAGGTTTTATGGAAATGGTCCGCAACCTCCACCTCAATATACCTTTCATTGAAGCTATGGCTCAAATGCCAAGATATGCAAAGTACCTCAAAGGATTCCTTACCAAGAAACCAAAGCTTTAAGGCCTCGCCAATGTGACTCTTGGCGAGTAGTGTTCGGCTTTCCTCTTCAACCGCTTGCCCAAAAAGCGGTCCGACCCAGGTAGCTTTACTATCCCTCTTGGTATTGGTAACAATAATATAGACAATGCCTTGGCGGACCTATGATCTAGTGTTAATGTGATGCCTTACAAGCTTTTCAAAAAGCTAGAAGTAGGTGAACTTAGGACTACTAAGCTTAGCATCACTTTAGCCGACCGTTCGGTCATTAGCCCGAGAGGCATTGTTGAGGACATGTTGGTGCGAGTAAGCAAGTATTGGTATTCGACCGATTTTGTGATTCTCGATAAAAGCGAGGACTCGGATATGACGCTCATACTCGGTCGTCCATTCCTCGCCACCGCCAAAGAGGGGACCTTAATTCTGAGGGATGGTGAGGAGAGAATCAAGCTTGAAATTGACCCTAAGGCTAGAAGTGAGGAAGTGCAGGAATTGGTTTCGAATGATGTGAGTGGAGGAGAGCCTCTCAAGGCAAACCCCATTATTACTTGTGTTGCTTGTGGTGATGTTGAGTAGGAAGTCAAGGAGGGTACTATGCCCAAGGAAAAGAGGAAGAATGCTTGGAGGCAAAAGATGAAGCATGCTTTGGCCCGAAGGAAGGAGAAGGCCAAACCGAAGTTGGCCAACCAGGAGGGCCAACTCATGGAGCATAAGATGGGAGGCTACAGGCCTCGCCCCGAGAGTGTGGTGGATCCACTCTTGGTGGCATCACGTTCCAAGACGTAATCGATCCCGAACCGTCAAGCTAATGACGATAACTTAGCGCTTGTTGGGAGGCAACCCAACAGAGGTTTGTTTTCTTTTCCTTATTTTTGTTTTTGTGTCAAGTGAAGAGTTCAAGTGGTTGAGTGGTATCCCCATGCCAAGTTGTGTGGTTTTTCACTTTAAGGTTGTGTTGTGATCGATTAGGAGGCACGGTGGATTAGGTTGAGTTAAAATTTTCTCAGAAGTGCCCTATTTTCACTGTAGTTCACGGACGGATTGCTGAGTTCACGGTCGGATTTGAGTGTTCATGGTATCTAAGACCACGAACAGGCCAACGCGTTCGTGAACTCCGTGCTTCGCTTATAAATGGGGCGTGAACGACGACTCTTCACTTCAGGACCCAAAACTCACCGAAAAATTCGAATTTTTGCCGAAAACCGCGAAATTTCGACGGTTTTTCATTTTTTCACCCATTTCCGGCGAGCAAAACCCAAAACCAACTTCATACCCATTCTCTCCTCATCAAAACCGGCCTGTGCTGCGATTTTCGGGAGATTTGGGGCAAGTTTTTTCCGGTCAAGTCGCCGACGAGTTTCCAATGAGCTTCCGACGAAGCTCCGACAACCCCTCTTCGGCCTGTTTTTCGGCCATTTTTCACCTTCCTCGCCCGCACCTCACTTCCTCCTACGTCCTACTTGCGTCTCCAGGTTGGTTTTTCAGCTCTACCTTGTTTATTTTGGGAGAATCGTATTAGGTAGGGGAGTGAGGATGATTTTGATGCTTTGAATGTTGAACCTAGAATTAGAGCGAGGAATTAGGTGAATTAGGTTGATTGAATGGTGGAATGTTGTTGCATGAGCCTAGTTGAGCCTTGGTGGGCATGTTTGAACCGAACTGCCTTCATTTTTAGAATTTGCCTCCAAGCGCTATTTTGTGAATGCGTGTGGCCATTTATGCTTGATTGGGGGATGGTAGCCATCGTGGATTGGGTTGTGGTTCAATTTTTTTTTTGTATAAATGAACTGTGAAGTACCCACAACCATGCCACGGTTTGTTTGAGCTTAAATGTTGGCAATCCCTAGTGTAAACTTAAGTGTGTGTGTGTGGGTGGGGGGGGGGGGGGGGGGAGGGGATATCTTTTCCTCCCATTGAGCATTATTTGATGATTGTTTCCACGTATGGTGCTTGTTTAACTCCTTGTGGTAGGATGGTTAACAGAAACCACCCGTATCTTCTAGCGGTAAGAGACTACCCCGCAATGGAAAAGGAGGTGCAATTTTGGGTGACGGCAAACTTCGGTGAACACTGGAAACTCGGTTTCACTTAGTTCGATAGACTTCATTGCAGTGAAGTTATGCAGGAGGTAGTGGTACACCCACAATGGCGTCAACTCCTTGAGCTCGAAGATGACTTTTATTGAGAGCTATGCATCGAGTTTTTCAGTTCTTCACCATCTTCAGGACCAACAACCTCTTTGGTGCTTGTGAGCATCAGGTGAGGTTCCGATTGAGAGGGGAAATTCGTTCTTTGAGTTTCGACGAGTTAGCTAGTGCCTTGGTATTTGAAGCTACACACGATGACGAATGGGAGGAAGACACCATTAAGAGGAGCAACATGGACAACGCTTTTCGAAAGTTTTGCCTCCCCGCGCATCGCAGGACACAATTCCGGTCAGCCCTCACAGTCGCATCCGCACTCCAGCCCCAGTGGCGTATCCTCATTGTACTGCTGGCTCATTCCCTCTACCTAAGCTACCACAACCCGAACAAGATAACCGAGAGAACCTTGCTGGCTTGTTCTTGCATGGTGAACCCATCGAGAAATCTTCACTTGGGCTCAGTCGTGGCCTCTTCTTTTGCGAGGGCTATGTGGGGCCGACGATGCTATGTCACATCAATGGGTCCTTACATCACCCGCCTTGCTCGACACTTCAATGTAAGCCTGGAAGGGTGCACTAGAGAAGGGCGAACCTCGGGGTTTGATGAGGGCACATTTCACTCCATGCATTTGTTGCACACCTTTGGACCAATTCGGTACATTGAAGGATTGGACGCACCCCCCGAGGTCTCCACTTGTAACTCTGAACTCGTTTTTGTTATTTTTCTTTCTTTTCTGTGTGTGTGTGTGTGTGTGTGACTATAAACCACTACTATCATGTTGTGTTTGTAATAACCTCGCCTCGAGCGAGTCGTATTGTGTTTGTGTGTGTGTTTTTGTCTCTCCTTGAAGCTCCAAATCTCCTACCCAGAAACAATTCCAACTTTCACTCACCAAGCCCAAGCGGTAACATCATTCTACACCTATCTTACGGCATTGAGGGCAATGTCGAGCTTAAGTGTGTGTGTGGAGGGGGGGGGGGTAGTTTACTATTATGCTTGTGTGAGTGTGATTTATGCTTGGAGCCTTGATATATGCCCAAATTTGAAAAATTTGAGGGCTCCAGACAATATTTGCATGATCAACGTGGGTGGTTTGTGGGAAAATATCGTGTTTATTAGCATTGATCTTGATTTGTTGCAAGTGATCGAGTATATCCTATGATGATGACTGCGAGGTCCATTAGGATAGTGCAAAAGTTTAGTTCTCATGTGTGCATAAATGAATGGATGTCTTGACTCGATTACTTGTTGACTACCATTTGCCATGCATTGTGTTTTGTGAATTGGAATAGATGGTTGGGTGACTAGGTAGCCATGTGAGTTTTGAGCCGATCATTTTCTTCTTGTGTGCTTAGATCCCTCTTACCATGGCGAGTAACATCACAGTTGTCACTAGTGAGTATGATGGAGGCATAGGATTAGTCCACGCCCAAATGTTGATTGTCCGGAAATGTGTTATCAACTATTCAACCCCTTTGAGCCTTGTGACTTCGAGGGTCGTTCTTAAGTTAATTAGGAGCTTCGTGCTTTGTGAGCTTAATGGTGCTGATAGAACGAACTCCAATCCTTTCTTTGTGTCTAAACATGAGTCGTCCTTGTGTCCTGGAGCTCTCACTTTTGAGTTTCCATAGAGGTTCTACATAGGAGGTTTGTGTGCGATTCTTGCTAGGAATGGAATAGGAAGTGTAGTGTTGGAGTGAGTTCTTGAAAAGAGAGCATTGGTCGTTAAATATATAGGTGACAAGTGTTTTTACTCTCTAGTACCCCCTCAAAAAGAAAAAAAAAAGAAAAGAAAAGAGAAAGTGAAAAAAAAGGAATTGAAAAAGAGGTAATAAAATGGGGTAAATAGAGTAGAGAGTGCCACGGAAAACCAAAGTGTATGCTCTAGGAGAGGTTTCTTGGCACTCAAGCCATTGAAACCCCCACATTGTTTAAGAACTCCTTCACTACCAAACCGTAACGTGATAGAAAGAGTAAGCCGAGGAAGAGCGCTTAAATGTAGTTCACGGTGGGTGATAGTTTGGAAGGGAGAGATAAGGTTTTTGGCCGATGCTAGTGGTCTTCGGTTGAAGAGAAGGGTCTTAGTCGAAACCATAGAACCTTCGAGTTTAGGTTGAAGATGTAGAAGCTCATGTCGTGTTTGCCACCACCCAAAAGCCTTTTCCCCTTGTCCAAGACAATTGCCAGTCATTTGAACCCGTGTCTAAGACCTCCGGACAAGCTAGTGGTGACAACCATCCCGTGAGCTCTAGCGTTTAGAGGTTACCGCCGTGGTATTGAGACGATAGGGCCGAGTGTTGATGATTGTGCACATCTTTTGGACCAAAAAGGTCCCAACCCCACTGGTCTTGAGAGTGAGTGATTCATTCTTGTTTTGCATGTCATATCATACCTCGATGATGACCTTTGTTGCCTTTCCATTTGACCCTCGGACTTGAATTCTATGCATGGTTATTTGTGGTTGATAAGTGTTCTTGTTGAGACTTTCATTGATCCATGAACAAGGTGAGAACTTTTCGTTTGCCCACGTTTGGTGGCCTCGAATATCATTTGTGGTGGATGTCGGTATTTCTTGCAACGGTCCATGTATTAATTGCCAATAGCCATTGAGAATTCCCACTTTGTGCCCTTTGAGTTGTCCCCAAAGTATTTTTGTAGATTGAAATATTACCTTGTGTGAAATGGTTTGCTTGGGGACAAGCAAACGTCTAAGTGTGGGGGAGTGATTTGAGCCTAATTGTACGCATTTTACCCCCATTTTCCTTAGGCGTTTGTGGCAATCGTGCTCCTAAAAGAGTGGTTTTATGCTACGT